CCAATAGATGTGCTTCAGAAAAAACTAAGCTGTGTTACTTTTAATTCGGAAGACGACCATTGGAGGACAGTTCAACCCAAAGGGATCTGAGTGTTAGCCAACTCCTTTGTCCTCTCCCACGGGAAAGAGGGCTATAAAATAAAACCGGCTCATAAAATGTTGTTAGTCAACCTGTTTCTCTCTTGTGACACAGGATGGCAAAGGTCCTAGAGGCAGAGCTGGAGGGGGAGAGGTAAGGTGAGCAGTTAAAAAAAAAAGATGAAATTCAGTGAAGAGGATGATTGTGTGCAATAGAAGACAAAAACACCCTGGAGAAGCTCAGCCCACTCAAAGCCAGCGCATAAATTCACTCCTGAAAGTTTAAAAGTTCACAATGCCAGGCGACAATTCCCATGTGTTGAAGGAGAAATTTGGAGTGCATGCTCCGATGGCAGCTGGAGAGATCCCACACCATAGCAGTCCCACACCGGGCAGCAGGACCTCTGCAGGCCTGCACCCCGCATTTTGCAACAGCCACGTTTTCCCAATGTGGAGCAGCCACACCATGAGAAATGCGGGGTGTGCAGTTTTCTAAGCTGTGCTTTAAGTGGGTGGAAATGAGCTTTTTTTCACTGAGCTTGGCCAGGATTCTAACATTTCAGCACCAGGCACTCACTGCTCTTGGATGGCCTGGATAGCAGTCTGTGAGAATAGGCATTTTCTCAGGTGTCAATTTAATTTGACTGAAGTCAAAGGGAACTTGTTGGCTTCGCTGGGTTTTGGTTTGGGCTATGAGCTCAACTGAATTTAAAGAGCCCCAGAATAGAAATGTTCTGGACTGAAGCTGTTGGATTTGGCAATGTCTGCTTGAAGATGGGGCAATGTTGCTTAAATTCAGGCACGTTGTAGGAAAGTGTTGCTAATTGAGGTTCTTTGTGAAATTAGTCCAAATGTCTCAATTTCTATGCTTAATGGAAAAGTGTCAGCCAAAAAAGGAATTCTTTCAGTGAGAATAAATCCCCGAAGTTTGTCAGGACCCAGTGCCTCTTTTACTTTATTTAGGTCTGCTTTTCTGGGAGCTTCAGCTACGTCACGCTGCCCAAACAAGAGGCAGAGGACTGAAAACAGTTGTTCATTGAAGCAGCTCAGTCTTGATATTTTTCTGCAGTAGAATGCATGCACACTTGGTACTCCTTCCACTACCAATTAGCATCAGCTTGCCCAAAGTGGGGAGAATTTCAGCCCTTTCTGCAAACCCCACAACAGCCAGACTCCTCTGAGACTAACCAGGCTGCGGCATCTTCGCTGTGCTGTGAAGGTGTGCTCTGTCCCAAGGGTAGCTGCTCCTTACTGTATTGAGACAGAAGATTTAGCAGAGGCCTTTAGAGAAGGTTTTATCTGCTGAAAGGCCAAAGGGAGATGAAGGAAGTGAAGCATGAAGGGACAGGTGAAGATAGATCATTCAGTGCTTATCTTTCAGCCCACGCAATCACATTGTCACACTGTGCCCGGATCTGCAAACCATCAGTTAGGGCTGAACTCTGCTGTCCCTGCTGGAGGCCGCAGCTTTGAACTCAGGTGCCTAGGATAGGATGTGGTAAGATGCTGTGAAACCCAGATCAGTTTTTATTCTTGCGTGTAATATGTAAAATGTAATAGCATTCCTCTCCTCATCCACCTACTAATAGGGCTTGTTTACCCTACAGAAATACCCGTATCTCCTCTGAAGAAGTTTCTAGTCATGCTCCTTCACAACTATACATTAAGAAGAATCTTTTGTTTCATCTTCTATGTCTTATTGTAAAGTTAGCCATCCCTTCATTCCCAATGTTTTTTCTCTGACTGCAGAGCTGACCACAAGTGGCCCCAGTACCCTCTGTCTCTGCTCTGCTCAGCTCTAGTAGCTCCTTCTGGGTTGTGGTTTTTCTTTGCAGTCTTTTAAACAGAATTAATGATTTTTGGTTAGGGACAAAAGAACCATGCTAGCACAGGGTGTTAATTTAGACATGCATTACTTTATTTCTAAGGAGCATAAACCGTTATTTGGTGTCCTCCCTTCCTTCCAAATAAAACTGTATGTGCATTCCTTTGTAAATGTATTTTGTGTCTAAGTCATATAGGGAAACATTAAATGCAGTATAAAGATAGTAATAAAACTGGTTGTAATGTTTATAAGCTTTTCATGACCAAGTGCTTTGTAGCTAGAAGTGCCATAACCGCACACTTTGCACAGCAAGTAGTGAGGCACTGTGGAAGCAGCACACCAGCAGGAACCAGCGCTCTGGTACAGGGGTGGGCAGCTCCCAGGGACAGCAGACAGCATGAAGCTGGGCATCTCTCCTAGGCATGGAGGGGCTGGGTGCCTGCTGTTGAGAAGCTGGCTTTGTGCTCAGAGTGGAAATGCTGCAGGGTAGAGGAGATCCAGCACATGCGTTGCATGAAGTCCCAATGTAGCAGTAGAGGAGGAATTGCGTCCCAGATCCTCTCTTGGCATGTCTCAGTTCTGCCTCTTCCCTCTCTCATTTTGGCACCAGAGGCCTCCTGACATTTGGGTTCATCGCATTCAGCATCACTGAATTCACTAAGAAGTCATGGGTTAGGTACAGGCCAGTCCTGGCAGCACACCACACCTTGAGAGGAAAAGCAGATAAAAATGTGACGTAAGGGAAGAATGGTGGAAATATTGCTGCTGACATTTTTCTCAGGGTTTTCCGGTGTTTGTGTTGGTCTGCCTGATTTGTTGCAATAGGACAGAGCGCATTCTGGAGATGTGGAGTGCCCTCTAGCCACACTTTCTGAAACACTCGCATCCTGTACAACAGAGGAGCTCCATTTCCATTTCCTTGCTTGTGTGTGGGGGGGGTTCTTTTTTCTTTTTCTTTTTTTTCCTAAGTACGGAAAGCAGCTCATTATTCAATAAATCCTAAGCTGATTTTGGCTCTAGAGAGCTTCCTATAGGCAGAGCTTTCCAGCTGCTGCATCGGTTTGTTTCTGTGTTGTAGCTGAGCATGTTGCTTTTGTGGACCGCAGACAACGCGTTTCACAAGTACTGCCACCACTAGGTGTGTGTTAGAGCCACTTGCCTGAGCTGCATCCCCTTCCAGGAGAGGAGATACTGCTTTGTAGACTGCACTGCTGCAGGTGTAGGGGTGTTGGTCCCTTACAATTGGGTGGAACAGGAAAGGCAGACACAGTGCAGGGAACACGGCTCCCTTTGTCCCTGTGGCTGAGAATCCTGTGCCAGCAGCTGATGGGAATAGGAGAGGTGCATCAGAACTCGCCATGGATACATGTCTAACTTGCTTTCCATCCTGTCTGAATGTTCAGTGTTCATGCTGATACCAGTCAGCAATGTGATTTTTTTTTTTTTTTTTTTTTTTTTTCCAAATGTCCAATGACTTCTAAGGAATACATGCAATGAGTATTAGACAAAGCTCTGGTGTTCTCTCAGCCAGGGCCCACAGCTTGTACTTCATACTCTGTTACGAGGTGTGACTCCTGAAGACCTCTTTTTAAAGGTCATGCTGTTTGTGCTGCATAATATAAAATACAGTTCCACTGTAAATTAAAAACATACTTTACAGCTTGCTGCTGTGTTTCATGAAGGTGAACAAGATTTGAAATCACAGGTCTCCTCGGTTGTGGAAAATATTTAATATCATCCTAATAGGGCCTGGATGGCTTTATGGACCGGTAATAAGCTACAGAGGCCATTTCAGGGCACCTTGCTACATACTGCTGCCTACTTTTTCATCTGCCCCCAGCAGAACATTTTCTCATTGTTGACACTGAGGAGAGCTGTGCTAGATTTGATTTTACTTTGTTATGGGAATTTTGGAATGAACTGTTACACTGACTAACCCACAGCCATCTCTCTTAGATATAGGGGATATGCTCAGCCATGTTGAGTTTCACTCTCAGAGTGAAGGAGATTTGCTATGTTGCAATGGTTCACAGGTGTGCTCAATCTCCATTTACACCCTTCAAGGATTAAGTATCCAATTACTTGCCAGGAGGGCAACTTTCAAGAACATTGTCCTTTCTTTGCAGGTAAACCATGGTATGGAAAATGGATTCAGAGAGACCTGCAGTTTGATTCTGAAATTCACCCACAACTTCTCAGGGAGCCTGGATCAAAGGTAAGCAAATGCATTAAAGCCACGGATATTTGACTGCTATTTAAAAAACAAAAGTGAAAGGTGTTTTGATTAGAATGTGTTTGCTCAGTTTGTGTAGGACATGTATTGTGTGTGAAATAGGTATTGGAACACAGGATAAAATAAAATGTTTGATAACAGGATGTGATGGAGATGATAAGGAATAAATAGGATTTCAGAGAGATATTAGAGAAGCAGGAATTGTAAGTAATACAAAGAGGAAACTGAAGAGTGGATTTCTTTCATCTAATACAAAACGTGTTTCACATGAAATGTGAGAGAGATATGATGTGTGGAAGAGATATATTTCACATGAAATCATACGCTTTTTGAGAACTATGGAAACTATAATTGCACATTTGTAGGGTCTTCTATCAGATGCTGTGTACTTTAAGAGTGGTGTTTGGATCAAAGGGGCAGCCTAGGCTTCAAAGGAAGGGCTGCTTATTGAGTTAGCACGTGCTGCCAAACAGATCTGCAGGGCAACAGCTGCTACTTGGCAGGGCCTGGCACAGGGTGTGAGGCATTGCAGTAGAGGAGGGGGAGACAAGGGTGCCTGTCTTAAGGCTTGACACTTACCCTCTAGTTTACTTTTGGAGGTGTAGGAATGTAGTTAACCTGCTAACATAGCATGCAATTAGAGTGCTCTCCAGCAGCAGTCTCTTGCAGCTTTTGTGGGAGAAAGAAAGGGCTGTTTTCTGTAAAACTCAGCTCCATCTTCCTAATCCTACCATATCCTCCTCCAAATATATTCTTAGTCCTTGCATTACATCTTCAACTTGCATGAATACTCACATACAATTACTGAGTTAGGAAAAGATATTTCTTGCAGCTTTTTTTTTTTTTTTAATTACAAAGCCATTTTTTAATGTTTGAGTATACAATCAACATAATGTGCAGCATATTAAGAATACCTCAGAAAAAGCAGAAGAGAAACTTCTCACACACTGGCACAAACTAGAGAACTTTGTTTCTTCAGTATCTGTGCTAGAAGAGATGGATTGCAAATTATTTTAAACTGCCAATTAACATAAAGAAACTTCGTCAAACTGTCATGGGGACAGAGTTTTCACCTATAAAATGTTCTATGGTATTTCTGTAGTGAAATTCTTGATCAGCACATCTTAAGGTGTATTTGACATGACTGAGAACGCCTCCAATTACTTCGTACATGTTCAATTTGAGCATATATTTAATGTTACACTGAATATTGTTGAAATACAGGATACAAATCTTTAAATATAAGCAATCAAGAAAACTATACCAGGGTGAACATCATCTCACAAGCTTAAGGAAAAAACACACAAGGTTCTTTTTTTTGTACTGTACAGGAATGTTGTTCATGCAGTCCATCCCACAATTTTATACATCAGTGCCCTCAAATGCCTGGCTTCGTATGTAACGGTATTTTTCCCACTGTGCATCCTGTTCTCCTCGAGGGGCTGCTCAATGACAGCTGGGATGTTTCTTCCATACAGTTCACATTGCTTCAGAAATTGGACACACTCTTGAATGACACTGTCACGTAGCATGATCATGTGCTTGGACATGTTCTCTAGCAAGGACAGAAAACATCTTTTGGCATAATACCATGTATCAGTGCTTAGTTTTTTGTTATATGGCTCCAGGCTTTTAATGACCCTCGAAATACCAAAGTCGTAGTTTCCTTTCACACAATAAAGAGTACCAATGACTAGATTGACAATACAAAGATGGTAGATATTTTTATCAGGATCATCATAGGACAGTTGCTCTTCCCCCTTCTCAATCTTCCTCATCAGCTCCTCTGCGTCTTCGTTCTGGCTTGTCAGGATGTAGGAAACACAGAGATTAGCTAACACGATGGCACTAACATTAAGAATGTTATCATAGTGCTTTTTAACTATTGGCTCATAGAAGCTAATAGCCTCTTTGTACTTGTTTTCTTGCATGAAAAGTACGTGAGCCACGTTGAGCTTCCATACCTCGTGTTCATTACAGAACTCCACTGATTTGCGGAAAATCTTTTCTACCATTGTGTAGTTCTTCATGTCCCAATAAATTTTAGCCTGGGCCATCAACACGGGTATATATTTATCCAAAGTCTCATCATACTCATTAACAGCCTTTTTTACAGCTTCATCATCCCAGTTTTGCCTAGCTTCCTGTATTTGCTTTGTGAGTTTCCTCAGCTGCTCGGTCAGCATCCCTGCTGCGTCATCCAGCTTGTAGAAAGCCTCCTCAGGGGCAGTCTGACAAGTAATAACAGCATCCAAGAAGTTGTACAAGTAAGGTGTGAGCAGTTTGTAGGTTAGATGGGCGTTCTCTGCCAGCACGTCAGCTGCCAAGTCATAGTACTGATGCTTGCAGTAGAGGAGCAGCAAGTTTCCAAAGGTTTCTGGTGGGCAGGGGTTCTGCAGCAAAAGAAACTGCAGTTTCTCAAAGCCCTCTGTGGGCTGGGTGTCCATGTTTATTAGCGCTTGGTTGTGGAGCGTGACCGGATCCAGCTCCTCCTCGGCTCTCGGCGGCATATCGGTGAGCGCCTCCTGGGCCGCCTTCCGGTTGTGCAGCTGGTACTCGATGGCAGCCTTCAGGTTGAAGGCCTCCACCAGGGCCGTGCGGTGCAGGAGCAGGGTGTTGCCCACGCTGCGCACGTCGATGCCCTCGGTGGTCATGCCCACGCTGAGCTCGGGATGCTGGTGGATGCCGCACTCGATTATATCAGAGATGTGCTTGAGGGCAGGGGCGTACTGCTTGGTGGCGTAGCAGCAGAGCGCCATGTTGTAGGACAGCTCCGGGCAGTAGCCCAGCACCTGCATGGCACCTGCGAACTTCCCGCCGGCCTCTTCGTGCCGCCCCTGCCGGTACAGCAGACAGCCCAGGTTGATCTCGGCGTCTGCCCGCTCCGAGGGGTCCTCGGCCGTCCCGAGGCCGCTGTCTACGGCCAGCGCCTCTTCCACCAGGCTCTTGGCTGCCGCCAGGTCGCCCTGCCCGTAGTGGACGGCGGCCTGGAGGCGCAGGGCCCGGCCCTGGTAGGAGGGCCGGTCCAGCAGCGGGCTGGCGGCCCGCAGCGCTTCGGCGTACAGCCCGGCCTTGTAGAGGGCCTGCGCCAGGTACAGGCGGTACGCGTCGAGCTCGGGGTGCAGGGCCGCCAGCTGCTCGTAGCACTCGGCCGCCGCGGCGAAGTCCTGCAGCTGGTAGTAGCAGTAGCCCAGCAGCGAGAGGCCGCCCCGCGAGCGGCTGCTCCTCTGCAGCTCGCGGCTCAGCAGCGCCGCCGCCTCCCCGCAGCGTCCGGCACGGATCAGCCCGTACACCGCGGCCGTGTACTGCCCGTCGGGCACCGGCGCGGCCCCCATGGCTGCCGCGCCGGAAGCAGGCGAAGGGCGAAGCCGTGCGGCGCCCCTCGCTGCCGTGGCAACGGCCCCCGCGCCGGAAGTACTCCTGCGCCGGAAGCGGGGTATCGGCTTGGCGCGGGGCGCGCTGGGAGTTGTAGTGCGGAGCGCCAAGGCAGGAGTCGGCCCGGGCTGTTTCGCGTGGGCTGTGGGGCTCCACGCTGCGCCGGTACCTCCTGCGGGGACGGCCCGTAGGCTGGGCCACCCTTCCGCCCAGCGCCCGCAGGCCGTGAATTGCCACACAATTCTAATCAAGGCAGACCTAAGCCACTAAAAGGCTTTCTGTACCCCCAAGCGCAGCTCGTGCTTCCATGCAAACCGCTGTAGGGGCTGAATTCAGCTGCTAAACAAACGTACGCCATCTCTGGCCTCTGTACTTAGCGGCACGGATCTGATCACCGACTTGGAGCAGCTGCCTCCAGTCACTGAGAATCGCCATCATCTGTCACTCTGGGGAAAACGGCTTCCTCTGCTCACCCTGCTCAGCTCTCTGGAAAGGCGGAAGCACCAGGGCAGCGATGTGCTATCCTCACTGGCCTCGTCTGCGCTCTAGCAGCAGGGAATGGAAGAGATGTGTAGCTAGGGTTAGGACAGGGCTGCACCAAGGTGGAGGCACTGGTAAATTCAGCTGTGTCCGCCCCTCAGGCACACCGGGCAGCATGGGATGGGGAGAAGTGGATCTGAGTGAATCAGGACTTGCTGCTGTGGGAGTGCTGAGCCTGGATGCTGCTGTTTGACTGTGCTGGTGAGGGGGCTGTGGGCTGCAGCTGTGCTCTGTGCAGCACCAGATGCATGCGAGTGCCGGATGCCCGTGACTGCATGCTCTTATGTCCCCTCTGCCTTCCCAGCATTTCTTCTTCTTTTCCTCTCATTGTTTATTACAGTGCTTTCAAGCCTCTGCTGTGTGCTAATTACTGGTAGCAGTGCTAAGTAGGTTCTCAGTGCCAGAACGAGATGGGTTTGCCATGGCTGCGTCCTTGTTTTTCTAGCAGCTGTGACACAAATGAGACCTTATGCCAGATAAAGAAATTGCATTATCTATATTTGCCTGCTTTCTGTTTTCCCCCTTGTGCTTTATCTTTTAAGCAGTAAACTGAAATATTTAATAATAATATCCACATCAGCTAGAATAGATCTCTTGTCCTTAAAATACTACCTAGAGCTGAATATTTTCCTCAGTTCAGTATTTCCTGAAGCTGAGAAGAACAAAAAGTAAAATTAAATAAATTTACAGATATACATTTTTTCCAAATTTTTTTTTTTTTTTTTTTTTTTTTTAATAAATCTTCAGTAATAGCCTTAAGTATTTCTGAGCAGTTACACTGTAAGAGAAAGGCTTAAGTTAAACATGTTACCTTGGGACACAAGATGGGAAGTACTTTATTGATGCATTGTACTCTGTGAATATGAAATTTCCCTTTTACAATACATTAAGAGCTCAAATTTGTGAAAGCTGATGGAAGGATGTTTGTATCTTAATAGAATATGACAGCTCTCCTACTTCAAAAGAGTAGATCAAATATTTTCTTACTTTTCTGAAATTGCTTATTTCAGCAGTAATTTTTCCTTGGAGGGAAGTAGATATGGTGTTTCTATTGAGTAGTGCTACATCTGGTGTCACTGACTTGTACTAATGTATATAATTTCTATACAAGTAAGTAGTTCTGTTGAGGTCTTTGGCCTGATCTGGTTTCTGGTCGTTCCCTGATAGTGCCAAGCGCACCAGGTGAAGTTAGGTTTCTTCCCAGGAATGACTGCTGCAAGGTCATGTTTCAAAAGTTATATTTGAGCTGTTCGGTTCCATGTGTTTTCATTGTTCTTCTATTTGTGTGATTCACAAATCAATATAAACAGCTTTGATTCATCCTGACGAGACACTTTCAATGAAACAAACAAAAGTCAAAATCACAGGAACAATTAAGTGATGTATTTATTTATTTATTTTTAGAGAGAGCAATAAAACCAAATTGTTAATTTCAAAAACATGCTTTAAAAAGCTGAATCAGCGTTGTTTGATCTACTAAAGCAAAACAATGAGGGAAACGATCTTAAAATGCAGAAGGGAAAAAGGGGGCAAGGATATTTATTGTGCATTTTCAAAAGTAAGTAGGATGCACTTTCATTAGAAAGTGCACACACTGTTTGTGTGCATGTGTCTGTTGCCCATACATGAAGGTTCAAAGCTCACAGTGGTACTCTCCACTCTACCGTAAGATGCAGTTTCCAACACGCTTATAAATTGGTAGTTAAATATGAGATATTCTAAGAAAGAAAAGATATAGATCAATACACAGTACAGATTTCAATACTGTCACATTCAGATAATGAAAATCTCTCATTTCACCTGCTATTTACCTCAAATTCCATTTTCTTAGAAACCATTCACACCATTTTACTATTGAAATAATCAGTTTCTTTGACAAAGCCAATGAAAAAAATAAGTCTTACTCTTACATTTTCTTTCCCAGATCTTTCTAAGCATTGGAAGTGTCTATTAATATTTTACATGGCCTTAAAATAAACCTGTCTTAAAATTGCACTCAATGCGTAAACTGTCTGTAACTCCGATTGCTTAACTGTATGAAGGGAAAAATAAATATTTGGCCTGTAGACTGAAACACTCCCATTTTTCTATTAGGATCAATTAGTCTAAATATTACAAATTATCTTAGGCACTGCTGGTTGCAGTTTTCAAAAACAGTTTGTGAATACTAGTATTGGCTTTTGCTGATAACTACGGGCACATTATGAAATAGCAGTGCACTATAAGGAGGAGCAATAAGCAAGGACACCAGTCCCAAGAATGCAGCTGCTATACCAAGGACACCATCTGAATGAATACCTGAGCTAAAAAGAAACACACTCATCTACGCTCTAGTTATTTTCAGCAGGGTACTAAACATACTAATGACCTTCTCAGCAAGATCCCTGGTCTGGCAAAGGAGAGCAAGCTGGCTAAGACAGAGCTGCATGGGGAGTTACGTGTCTGATTGCCACATTAGGCATCCAGATTAAACTTTCATGAGGTACTGTTGCCTAACCTTGTATGTGACACCAAACTGTCCTGCCAGAAGCAGCTGTCTAGGTCTTGATCGAGTTAGGAAGTTTTATTTTGCTTGTGGGTCCTAGGCTGGAAGAAAGGCCTGATCAGAGTTTTGGGGCAAACTGTCTTTTATGGCTAGTACCTCTTGGTTGTCTCATTCTCAGGAGGTGGGAAATCCTTCTTCTGTCTGCTCCATAGGAGAGTCTCCAGTTCAAGTTCTCTGAGCCTTGAGCAGTACTTGGTTTCCTGGTGTGGTCGCAGAGTTGTACTGCTGGGCTCTTCTTTAACCTAGGAGGATGCACACTGGAGCCCCTCCTGAGCTCTTCTACAGTGCTTTTTTGCCTTGTGCAGCTCCCCAGGCATGAAGCAGGAACCATACAGCTGATTGTCCCATCTCCTCGATAAGCATGAGTAAAGGGCTTCAGCAGGAGGGCAGAAACAGGCTGCCCTTGTGCCTCCTCCTGGGGAGCAAGGTGCACCTGTAGTTTGAAGCTCGCTCTGAATCAAACAGGATCTGAATGCCAGGTATCTTCCTGGTTGTCCTAGGTGATGCTATAGTGTTTAGATCTTTTCTTCCTTCTTGAGGAAGGGTTCATTTTGGTAAGCAGTCTCACAAGTGGGAATCCTGAGTGGAAATGCTGCCTGGCCTGAACTCTTTTTGAAGACTGCATTAGAACTAAACTGAATCAGAGCACCTTTGAGGAGAATGCAGCTCCTATGGATGCACCTTGTGCTAACTCCATTTTAGCACTGTAGTTGCAAATTCTTGAGTCCCTTTTGCAGGCAAAATTTCCACTGACAGCAGGGGCAGAGAAGTTGAGGACTCCTCTGTCACTGAGCCACTGCATGTGGTGGGTATCTGCAGGGGGAGGCCAAGCAGCAATCTACCAGCACTGGCCTAGGTAACATTGGGATCTCGGTCCTGCTTGCCTTTGTCCTCACCCTGCTGGCCCTGTGCTTTATATGCAACCATGGAGCCTATCTCATGCGTTGTGATCTTGTGCATTGGGCAGGGAAAGGAGGGGGGAAAAAAAAGAAAGAATTCAGACTTCATAACCCCCAGTCATCTCATCTGTGCTGTGTGTGTCTCAGGACAGTGTCAAAACTGACCAAATTGCTGGAAGAATGTTTTGGAGTCAGAGAGAATGAAAAGCAGATACAGTGTCTGCCTATAAAGCTTGTAAGCACTCATTAATAACTGTTTTCTATCCTTTTTAATATGAGAAACTTGGAATTTGATTCTTTTTTGCTTCCATGAAGAGTTTTCCTTTTCTCTCCAAAATGTGGATCTTTTGCTGATTCCTAAGCTGTATATATATTAAAAAAAAAAGCTTTTATAAAATAATAATACTGAACTGTATAACTTTCAGACACCAAATTCTGCTCTGTGACATGCTGCTGTGACCCCCCTGATTTCAGCAGGGCTGCCTCATTTTGCCTGAGAACAATTTGATAAAGATCTAACTGTGCTCTCTCATTTTCTTCCTTGTGATGGAGGAACAGAACCATAACATTAGTCAGCACTTTCTGGATTTTGACCCACAATAGCCGAGCTACCCAAATACAGGAGAAATAGATGGAGGCAATTACAAACAGTCACTTGATTGATGGTTGACATTGTTAGAGCTTCAGCTGGATGTCAGGTGGTGCGGTGCTGAATTCCCATCACTGCCGTGGGAGTTGCCATGGGCAACAGCGCACTGAAGCCAATAAAAAGGAGAGGAAACGAGGGGAAACTCAACCTTGGGGGAAGCTTCAGGATATGTGCTGTAAATTATGTTACACGTAGCAATATGCGATATCAAAATTCAGGAAAGCTCTGTGTACCAGCCAGCAGTACTGTGTCAGTTCCTGGAGTCTGCTTCCCCCATAAAGTATGCATTACAAGTTACACATGTCTTGCTGTTTACTATCCTGCATCTATCTTTATTCAGGAAAGAAAAAAAAACTGGTAAAATAATAGCAGAAGCATTTCCATTTTATGTGTACGTTCACTGCTGTGCATTCTGTATTTCTGCTCCTACGCAGCTTCATTGGATAGAGAAGGTGATGTGGTTCAGTTGCGTGGTAGCAGGTTGGTTTGTAAGGCTACTGAAACTTCCACCTATTCCCCTGTACACGTGATTGGTAGCACAGAGGACTTTGGTTTTGTTTTGGGCTGTGTTTTTACTTAAGGGAGCGCTCAGCAGATTTGTTGTTTCTGTTTGACTGTCAGACAGATGTCAGCTTTTCAAAGGTGCTAAGGACTCCTTTTCACAGGGAAGCAGGGAGGCTCTTTTTGGCATTCACTTGGTTGAGCCAGGTTCTGGTTTCTGTGAAGCTGGTGCCAGTTAAAGGTTATTCAATGAAGCAAACGAACATCATCGCAGTTGTAAAATGTAGCCAAATTCAGCTTTAATTTTGGTTGCCAGACAAGCCTATATTCACTATGGCATTTTCAATGAGTACAAAGGCTTTTCTTCTCCCATGAATGGGAACTCTTTAGCGCTGCAACATGACTCCTCTTGGGTCCCATCACGCAGCAGAGAAGGCATCCTCAGTTCAGATGCCATAGCTTTGCTGCACTAGTGATCTGTGCACTAATGGAAGGAGACCAACTTTCACACAGTATCAGTGTCATCACACAGAGCTGAACGCATTTGGTTTTGTGACCTATTGGTTTTGATTGAACTTTAAAGAACCCCTCTACCACAGATGTTTATGTGTGAGCCTAGCGCTGTGCTAGCTGTAATAACATCATCTTAAAGTGTACTGATAGTACTGCAAGAAAAGTAAGAGGTAGTCAGTTCAGTATGATAATATTCTTTGACTTTACCATTTTAAAATATTCATTTCCACTGCAAATTATACTAGAGATGTTCATTCATGGTCCAGTTTTCAATTTAATATAAACCTGAAGCATAAGGCAGCAGATTTCCTTTTTATTCTATATTCATTGAAGCCCATTACTTTTTCCCTTAGGGTACACTGTAAATTTAAAAAACAAAAACAAAAACAAAAAAAAAACCTCTAAAATTAGCATGCAGTATTTTGTTTTAATGCAAGCTTCCCCTTGCTGAGAAATTTACTGCATTGTTAATATGAATTTCTCAAGGAAGCAGGGACAGATTGGTGTTTTTAAAGATAATAAAGTTTGTTTTTAAATGTAGCAAAGGTAGGCAATTCTAAAGGCCCTGATCAATCACTAAGAAGCGTTGTTGTAAAAAAATACTTCTTTAGAATACAAAGCAGGCTTCTCAGAACATCTAGGCATAAAAGAGGAAGGAAGAGAGGAACATCACAAAAGCAGGCATAATGGATTCATAACTGTACTGAAGAGATGCAAAACAACAATGCAATTACATACTATTGTGTTTTCCTGCAGCTTCTTGCATATGAATTGACCACCTCATATTGCAGTTCTGCTCTGTATTATTAATTTTATTAAGTTGTGAGTTCTTATATTTCAGTCTGTTGTCAGTTTTACAGATTTTTATGGTAGCAGCTGAAATGTAGCAGAGCTGAATGAATGTTTCTTGTGCTAAGTCGTTCTTGTCGCTTTGGAAACCAGTGTAATCTCGCTGCAGGCCTTCCCTTCAGAAGGGAAGTAATAGCAAACCAGGCTGCCATCAAGATACCATCCGATCAATTAGGCATATCTGTGAAAATGTTTCTTCTTTAAAAAAAAAAAAAGGTGTGCCAAAGCTTTTGAAATCCTTTCAGACAGCTTTTATCATAAACCGACACTGACATTTGCAGGCTTAATTTATGTCTTTGAGGGACATGGTAAAGGTAGAGGAAAAGGAGGATGAGGATGCTGCCTGAGAAGGAAGTCTTTGTTGGTGCAACTCCTCCCATTTACCTCTATTTACTGCCACAGAGTCCAGCATAGGCTTCAGTTTCACGTTCAGCTTCACAAGACACTGGGTAAAAATAGAGAGGAAAAAAAGTTAGTATTTCCAGTCTGCTGATGGATGTCCAGGGAGTTACATGATAAAAGGAATCTGATCTGCACTGTACCCTCACCCTTCTCACCTCCAGTTGTAAATTCTTTGTAGGTAGAGTTTTTCATTTCGTTTGGGATTTCTTTATCTTATGCTCATTTGACCTGAGGCTTTAAGTAATCCACCAAAAATGCCAAACAAACAAACAAACAAAAAAACCCACATAAAGTGGTAAAACTGCTGTTCAACTACTTTGGCTTTCTTGTAGGCCTTGAAGATGGTCCTTCTGAAGCATCCCCAGTGTCTGGGGCTTCCTGCTTGCTGCCTATGAACTAGTGAGAAGGCAAGGAGTTTTGTTGTTGTTGTTGTTGTTTTTTTCTGCTTTAAATAGCAGGTTTAACAACAGCTAGTTTAAATGGCCCCCAGAGCCCACACAGCACTAAGAACTGAATGTTTTATTGCTAGCTTGCAAACCATGTAGTTTGGCTAGCTATTGAAGTAAGTCTTGGTAAATTTTTAATTGAGCTATTATATGATAATTAAGGGTTAATGGTCTGATCTTAAGATGTGCTGAAAAAGTGCAATTTCAGTTGACTTCAGTAGGAAATATGAATGCTCAGCACTTCTATAAAATCATGCCGTGAGTAAGTAGCTGATTTGTGTGGAAGTTAAAGCAAATTTAATTAAAATTATTTGCTGAGAGTGTGGTGAGGACCTACGCAACCTTGGGCCTGGAGTAAGAGGCAAAGCTGACAGTGGTCTCTGCCACGGACAGTACTGCTCTCTGGTGGCATTCATGCTATTTTTGGGATGGCTGTGCATGAGTAACACTCCTATCACCAGACCTCACGGTTCCCTCTTTTGAGCACCGTATTCCAGACTGTTATGTATTCCCCAAACCTGGTTTCATTGAATCAAAAATGGAGGGGAGTAATGCATGCTAGACCTCTCTAAGCATCTCACTGCTGTTGTCCTTGATGCCTGCACTGCCTCTGCCAACACTGTAGGCATTCTCATTTTGATGGCAACTTAGCAGATCCTTTCTGTGTGTATGCAAAGCTAGCATCCATCTCCTAAGCTTGCTGGTAGGAGACGACAAGCCTCTGATGTGCATGTCTGCATCTCGCCCCACAACCAAGGGTGCCAGGAGGACTGTGGGTGCCTGAGATGCTGAAGCCAATTGGCTATGCACTGCCTGCAGCCATAGACACCCAAAGCCCTAGGAGACCAGAAGCAGTATATCTCTCTACAGCTACCTGAAAGAAGATTGTGGAGAGCTGTGAGTTGTTCTCTCCTCCAGCATAACTAGTGATAAGATGAAAGGGAATAGCCTCAAGTTGTGCCACGGGAGGTTCAGGCTGGATATTAGGAAAAATGTCTTCTCTGAAAGAGTGGTGAGATATTGGAACAGGCTGCCCAGGCAGGTGATTGAGTCGCCTTCCCTGGAGGTGCTCAAGGAATGTTTAGATGTTGTACTAAAGGACATGGTTTAGTGGTGGAAATACTGCTGATTGGTGGATGGATAGACTAGATGATCTTGGAGGTGTTTTCCAACCTTGATGATTCTATGATTCTAAGCAGCTGCACCCCATAATCACTGAATCTTATGAGCTGTAAAGTCCAAAAATAAATTGTTTGTTAGAAATGTATGCATAACCAGATAAATAACCAGAATGGTTAACTAATAACATTAACTGTGATGAAAATAAGTCAACAGGAATATTTTAGAAGGAATAAACCATGTCTTTGATATTCAGTTTTACCACAGTACAAGCAATTAATTCTATGGAATGCTGACAAAATATATAGTGTAATTTTAAAAAACTTTATTTTGTTCTACACTAATTTAGATTAGGGCTACTCAAAAGTGCAGATTTTGCACTTACTCCATGAAATATCTTTATTCAGACATTGATTTGATGTTCAAACCGCTGCTTCTGGATTTAGTATCCTTTCACTTCAAGACTCTTTCATTCTGATCTAGTCTTTTAATTAAACCAACTACTATAATTCCTATGGAAATTAGCTTTTATTTTTCTTCCAGTTACCAAAGCATTTCAGTAGGACTTTTCTGGTACAAAGTACACAAATTGGATTTTACTTCTGCTTGAGATGTAATTAAAAACTCATTTGATTGCTATATTTCTGGCTCTGTTTTAATTATTAAACACCAGTAATCAATTTTCTTTTATGAAGCTTTTGGGAAATTATCTCAAAAGCAACACATTTCTCTCCCTTCTGGCAGGTTCTTGACCATTTACTGAATTACATTCAGAGCACCTGCTCCTGATCTGGATTAAATCACCAATTTATTCCTAAAGCTATTTAGGTTTATTTGGCTGTAACCTAGTCAGGGTTTTCTGCCTTCTGGCTGCACTTTTTACTTTCGATTTTATTGCACAAAAGCCTCTTGATGTACTGCTCTTCCATGCCTCTATTTTTGATGCATGCCTTGTACAAACTGCTTTGCTAGTGATCTGTCTAATTTGCTACTCAGCTTCTTAGGCCCAATTTATTCTTCACTTCAATATGAAGAGGTTTGGTCTTCAACAGCTGTCTGACATAGGATACTTCCAAATAATGCTGAAGCTTTGGAAATGGCCCTTTTCCTCAATTCTCTGTGGTGCAGCAGGTGGGCTGTGGGACAAATCCAGAGTCCCTGTCCCCTGCCTGCAGGCATTCCTTCCTGTGCAGTGCAGCTGCTTTGCTACACAGAGATCGGTGTGGGATTGGAAACTTTCCCATTTCATCCCCTTTCCTGTAATAGCTGCTCATTATCACAGGTTGATAAAGCATGCTGGGAGAGCAGTCCCACCAGTGGCTCCCTTTCCAGCACTAGGAAAGGCTAAATAGATTTGCAGTCCTCTTCTGTAGGCATGCATTACCTCAGGTATGTAACTAAGCTGTTTCTCAGAAAGTTATTGTATAGCACTGACTCTTTCTACCACCTTCAGAGATATAGGCAACTTTTGTGACTATGTACTGCTTGTAGATCATCTGGCTTCAGGGTGGTGGGGACAGAGGACTGCATCAGCATCTGCTTCATCTCTGGAAAACACATTGTTTGAACTAGCCAGGATGCAGCATAGATGTGGCTGAAAGCTAACTATTGCTTACACAAATACAACACTGTTGTGCTCTTTGAGTCATATGGCATCATTTTGAGGGGGAACGTAGCATGCCCCAGCTTACAAACACTGCAGTACCTCCAGAGTATTGTTTTATTTATTCATTTAGGTTCTCGCCCAAATATTGACCAGTTGTTTAACTTGCGCGCTCTGACAAGATTATGACTCGTGGAAGTATGGCTGTGGGTCTAATATTTGTAAAGTGAGTTTATGGAATAAGACCATATAAATTCAGTTTTATGACTGAGCACATATCAAAAAGTTATAGGTCGCAGCGTTCACTCTGCTTTGGAACCCAGTGGTTTCTAATGAATCACTTTTATTATGTAGGCAGTTTCTGAGTTGGAAGGGAGGACTAGTGACCGAGGAGCCACAGGGATAAATTCAGACCTCGTGTATAAGCACATGAAGCATTGCTGAAGTCAAGAGAGTAGTGACCAGTTACAGCAAAGCTGAATTGGACTCCTGAGTTTTGCTGAAGTGGCTTTCATGTAAGAATATGTAGGCCAAAGGTGAGCCATTTATCTGAAAATCCTTGAACTTCAGAATAGTTCAGATAAAAGGGAACCTGCACTGCAGTCATCCAAAGATTTGATCCTTATGATATACTTGATGGAAGATGTTTTGAAAAACCAAAAGCATTTCTGCACACAAGCATGTGTACTGAAACCAAAGAAGACAGATAAAATTCTACCTTCTGTAGGCAGCACGTAGAAGATACAATATAAAGAAGCATCAGAGATTAAGTTCTGTGAACCTTTTGATGTTGTGTGTGTGACTTAATTATTTGCCCCACTGATTCAGAGTCATACGTTTTCATTGGGTTCCAGATGAAATAGATGACAGTACTGTATTTGAGAGGAGGTTTAATTGATTGTTCAGTGGTGTGATGTGCAGTGTACTTCAGGGAGGGAAATAGATACAGAGTTCTTCAGGTAGCAAACTGTACTCTGACTACTATCAATAGTTTGCTGTCAAAGGGGAGAGTAATATTGAGGGACTGGGTACCTACTGAAGTAGCTTGACAGATGTGTTGCTATAGTTGCAAATGATTCACATGTTCATAATAATTTGAGGTTTTACTCAGAAGAGTTACAGTTCCATAAATAACTTGTTTGGCTCTGCTCTTTATGGTTTTGGTTCTGCATCTGAAGCATGCAAAATCCAAAATGTTTCTACCCCTTCTCCTTTCAACATTTTAACCAAGCAGCCAATCAGTGCCTTCTGCCTTACTATCAAATGGATTTTGAAAAACTTTTCAAACAGTATCAATCTCATATCCTCATTTAGTTCTTTGAATTTGCCCTCAGCTGGGAATTCTGCAGGCAACTGTGATTCTGTTGTGTTAAACACTTACTTGAAGTGTCTCATCCATCATCATTTCTAGTCCTTTTCTGATGCAATGTAGTTTGTGCTTCATCTTTCTTGAAAACTGAATGGCTGTTAAATTATCCATTTATCTTCTTTCAGATTTGCTGTACAATTTGAGTTCCCTCTATCTGCTGTCTCTTCTACCTTATCTGCCAACATTTTGGTTTACTTCCTCAAATCTGTATGTGCATTTCCATACGTGACTGCCTGTCCTTCGCAAAACATTGGGCAGATAATCCTAAGTAAAACAGCAACACAAACTGCAGTGTTATGAATTACTCAATTTTCTCACAGATCGTGGTGAAAGCCTTTCATGAAGCCTAGTTTCACTGAAGCCAGCGGCAAATATTCATTCTTCTGTATCTCTCAAATGCTCAGTTGATGATTTGCTCTTTCAGTTGAGGTATTTTGGTATCAGACGACTTAGAAGTAATTTGAGGTGCTCTTTTCTGAAGAGAAACATGTTTCCTCTCTTTCTTC